GTATAGTAGTAGTAATAGTATAGTATAGTAGAATTATATACCATTATAGTACTATATAATTGTATCTTGTCTTAATCAATTTTTTCCATCTCGATTGGCTATAATGCACAAGGAAGTCTATCGCCGCATTGGGAAATGAACCTGAGGATACATCTATATCACTTGGGAGTTGAAATTAATATCGGGACCATTAGCGATGCCAGACGCCGGTAGTTCCTATACAAACCTGACTTATCTTACCGCTTCCATCAATGTATAGAACGGACTTTATTTGCAAATTAGTTGGCTTTACTGTCATCAGGGCGAGTATTGTTCAATTAATACCGTAATTTTCATTCTGTTCTTCATTATTATTATCATCTCCCATGTCACTCCCATTTTGCACGTAATCCCCAGTCTAGAGGCTGTTATTCCTTGCTTTCCCATAGGCAAATAGTATATATATCTTGTCAGTAACACAAATAAATATGTGAAGGAAGACTGGTTTTTTTAAGAAACCCACAATAATTTAATTTGAATCGAATTCTCATTTTGAAGGAAAAGTTAGTTGGGAGGGATTCGTGAGAGAGTATCGTCTTGAAATCGAGACTGTTGGACTGCGCAGAATCTGTTGGTTTAGCTTCATATGGCCTTGATGAGATTTCGTCTGCCATTTGGTAGACATCACTTAAGCTAGAAACCATCATTTACGAAACAACCCACCAAATAAACTAATCCAAAAAATGATTTCCTGTTGCAATCGTACTCACTACTTATATCTAATTTTTCTATCTTAATGAGGCATTTCATGATTGCATGCTTATTCTACATGTTCACAAAGTGATGAAGGTTGTGCATTTAAAAGAGATGAATGTGGTCGAATACAATGCTTCCTTCGTTTCCGTTAAGGCCAATTCACAAGTCCGTTTTAAACAATTTTTTCGTCAAATTTAAAATTTGCTTTGCATTGGATCATATAACTAGCCATAACTATTTTAAGGAAATAAAAAGAAATGATAAATTGAAATAATTTAGTGAGAAGTCAGAGTTCTACAACAAAAAATGCTTTCGTGTTGATCATTTGAATAATCATTACTTGTGTACTGTTTCTATTTTACCTCTTCATTTTTGTTTTGTTCTATTTGCACTTGTATTGTAGCTTCTCTCTCCGGCCGGCATGGCTGACATTCTGTTGGGAATGGAGTCTTTAAGTAACAATCTGCGGTCGCCCAAAAGCGATCCGATCTTCGCCCGAACTGAGACCCCTCAAGCCGATTCCGCAGTCGCTGCCTCTCTGAGTTCGGCGCCCGACTCTTCTGCCTTTATTTCCAGCTCAGTTTCAGACTCACAACACTTTTCCCACCAGAGACCCTTTCGCTTCATTGCTTCTTCGACTCAATCGTCACTTTCTTCAACTGGATTTGACGAGACTGTTCAGACAGCCTTTAACGGGTCGCATTCAATCTACTCTCGCAACCTTTCCAACACTGCTCCATCTTCAAATCTTTCAAATCCATCCCTATGGACTCCTTTTCTAGGGTCTTCTGGGTACTGGTCTACTCCCGGGGCCTTCTGCCTACCTCTTGGCCTTTTCTTTCTTATCCTTCCCTTGACCCTGCACCAGCACCTCTTCATTACTTTGCGTCCCAGTCGCATTCTCTACTTACTTCGCTCGCCGCTATTTTTTCTTCCCACTCCTTCACCAGCCTACTCTTCCTCCCCAACATCCCATAAAAGACAAATTCTTTCGGGATGTTGTCGTCGATGGCTGGTCGCCGCATGTCGGACGCTTCGCCATCGTCGCCTTCATAACAGTTTTGAGCAGCACTACCGTCCTCAAGATCCAAATCACGACCGTCTACCGCATCAGTCTGGCTTCGAGTTCTGCCAAGTGGTCTACCTCTGTTTGATCTGTCTCGGACTCACCGGACTAGCCTGTATTGCCGGCTGGAGATTGCGTCAATTGCCAGACTGGCTGGAGATGCTATTGAAGACGGCTTCAGGAACCAATTATCTGCCACCTGACCGTTCATTTTCCGCACAAGAACAGTTGAAACAAGCTGGCGACGGGTATACATATTTGTTTAGGGTTGCCTATGTTATGACTGTCACTTTGGTGAAATTATTTATTTCCCCTTCTTTAATGCGCCTAACTCCGAGGGACGCTGCGTGTGAAAAGTTGTTTGCGCATAAGTCCCTCGAGCAACTAAAGCAAATATGACTCTTCTTTGGTTAATCCACCATTCCCTAGAACTGATTGCTACTTCTGCTGCTTCCATCGTCCATTATTTCTTCCCCAGTCCTGGAGGTGTGTCGAGGTATGCCTAAACAACACTAACAAAAGACATTGTGAGCCTAAAAAGAAAGTGAACGTGGGGCCTTCTGGGGTCTTGAGGTCGTCTTCTTTCTTATTCTCGGAGTTCGAGGAAGTAAGCTCCTTGTTCCTTATTTTTGTCGTATATTCACATATCTGTGTATGTATGTGTGCAGATACAGTGACCATAAAACGCAGGTCAAGGTAGTGAGTGATACTCTACAAACTGAAATTTACTAGAAAAATAATGGGCCAGCTGGTAAGAGGATAGGACAATCTGCTATGCTTGGACGTGAAAGAGAATCGAAGGTGTGAAGACCAAGATGGTGTGGTCTTTTGTGTGGTCGCAGTCCTTGTTTTAGCAACTTGGTCATATTGGTAGGAAGACTCAGAGGAACGCACCTTGTTCGGAGTCCATTTTATGCATCATCATTTCTAAAGTTGAACCGTGGACGTGGTACATTCCCAGACGTTTCGCCGGCGTCTTCAGTGAGTCTCGCCATTCTTAGCACCACAAGACAACTCGTCAGAGAGACAAGTGAAGCCGATCCTTTGACCAAACGTGTGCTAAACAATCGTGGTATCTCTCCTTCTGCCCTGGGTTATTCGCGTTTTCGGTAGCATCCTATCATGCCTTCATTATTAGAATTTTTACCGTGCTTATTTAGATATAGTGTACCACGTCCACGGTTCAACTTTGGCAATGATCATGCAGACAATGGACTCCGGACTACGTGCGTTCCTCTAAGTGAAAAAGAATGGTTGGGCAAAAAGCCAAAGTATCTTTCAGACTTGTGCTCGGTCCAACAGTGCGAATTGCTCAAGCTTCCAGAGATCTGGAAATGCAATATGTGCGATTGTTCAAGTCAAAAATAGCTTCTTAATCGTCGTCTCTTCAATCAGAGTGCGTACAATGCGAAAGGGATGAATCTCCTGAGATAAAATTGCTGGGGAGATCAACGTACAAATCTCTCATTGATGCGCGTTCATACGAAGTGAAGGTTTTCCCAACAATAGTCTTCAGAGCCATCATTAATTCTTGCATAACTCTTGGCCGCCGAAGGTGATTTAAAGTGTTTATTATGAATAGGTCTTACGATATCAGTGAGTTTCACTTAGCCCTGCCTCTCAAAATGTTTTCCCATCCAGAGTGGATTGCATTTACGTGCTGCCACGCTGTACGAGATCCAGTTTCCAATCCCTATTTAGGAACTACAGTCCAGCCTGTATGAGAAAACTTTTGCTCAAGCAAAGCGGTGCAAAATTAAATGGAACCGTCAGGTCTTTTTATTTGATTGTTGGAAAATTCAACTACCAGTCCTTCATCATCTCTTATATCAGATTAACTGGTATACTCGAAAGCCTACTTATAAATGGAAAATTATGTTTAATTTACATTTTGTCCCCAGCCTTCATCCTAATTTTATCGTCTTCATAATTAAACGAGACGGGTTTCAAACCCTTATGATTCGTTTTGTGCATTGGCCAGATCATCCTTCTGTATCCATAGCCCTTTGTATGCGGTTTTGTGCATGGGTCGGCATGTCTCCGTCACATGAACTCCTCCGCATCAGCACATAACCTTGTAACAGTCTAATTCAGACAAGTGGGCATAATTGAAAAAGCGTTCGTCTCTAGGCGTACTTTTAATATCCCACTTAATAGGCTGACGCTATGGTCACTATGGCGACCAAGTAAAGTTGTCTACGTTTTTATCTTGCCATAAAGGGCTGCATTCTGAAGTGGCTATTAAGTAAACCGAATGCAAAGTTGTTCTGGTGTAAAAGTTACCTAAACTTCTATATTTCAACATCCCCTAGTCATCCTTAATTTCACATACTATAGCCTACTTAAGTAGGATTCAAGCAGAAATTAAGAATGAACACTCCATTTGTTGGTCTCTTTTATGCATCCCTATCTAACTTGTTTCCTTTCCTACTAATTAGTTTATCCTTAAAAGGTAACCTACCATCTTTTCCAATTCCTTATAAAACTTTGTGGCATACCACAATATTTCATTAAGGAACTCTTCGAAACCCAATTTTTTATTGAAATCTTATTGGAATTTGCCATCTGGTTTTCTCTAGTCTTGGGTTTAGTGAGCTCTGTCAGAGAATAGTTTTACGCTTTGATGAATTCTGTCATGACAGACAAAAGTTTTAGGCTCAGCACAAATGGTTCGATATTTTGGTGCTCTGGTTTCAAGGACATTTTGCGCAAGTACCAAGCGATCTTCATATAGTTTCCAGTTTTGTCACTTACGAATCCTTTTTTATTCCACTTTTCATGATAACTGAAAGATCCACTGGCATAAAGGGTAAAAATTATCTTCTTATCCGTAATCAGTCTATATGAACCTGAAAAAATATGTAAATTGTCATTGCTAATCTGAGAGAGATCGTTCAGAATAATGTTGACCAGATGTCTTCTTCGCTTTGCTCTACCCTCCCATTTTATACATCTTATTTCAGTTAACTTCATGCGAATTTTTCGCACACAATTTTACATTTTTCATGGATCTCTCTCTTCTGTTGCATTGTCTAGCATTATCAGAGCTTGAAAGCAGCAGACACTAGATTTACAAGTTCACACTTTCTAACCATCACATTTTGTCACTGTACTTTTCATTTAGAAAAAGAAAATTTGGCTGAAAAGAATTCATAAATTGGTCTCACCAGTAACCTAATTAGGATGGCCTTGGAATAGCAGCTGCAGATTTGTGCTATGATGTACTCGATGCATCCTCTCGCGATCCCGATACCTTCGTGTTGGGTCTTAGTCTGTCCCGTCATGACAGACATCTCCGGAACGTTAAACCAATTTTTTTGGAAAACTTCTCCAAGCATTAAGACAAAAGAATGAGGCGCTGCATAATTTTGATGTTGTAATACATTTCGTTTCGTTTAAAGAGGCGTGTGGAGGGGATTCGTAGGTTATTCTCCCCGGAAGCCTTGGCGCTGTGAATGTAGATTTGTGCTGCCACGCGACCGCGATGAATCCGTCTGTCGTGTAACGGATATCCTCAGAGGAGGACACCGTGCCTAACGATAATTCGCCAAAACACGAAGCCAAGAATTGTGTTTTCTATTTCAGGCCTCTTTCACATGCTTGCAGATAACTGTGTTGGCTGTTAAAGCCATACAAAGTTACTTTCTTTCATCTGTATTTCTGAGTTCTCCTGTGGACATCAAAGAAACCAAATACGGCAATCATTGAACTCATGTATTCTGGAATATTTTCTTTTGATAAGTTTACTTTTGATTCCTGTGCTCAGCTTTGCCTCCCATTTTTCACATCTCGTACATAGTGCCTATTGATCCTCTGCCCAGTCCTCTTGGTACATCACAATTGGATTCTTTTGCTAGCACAGTATGCAAGTAAATTTGAGTCTAGCGAAGAAAAGTTGGATTTAGAGGAATCCCTTGTTTTATCATTACTTCCATTTCGAGTGAAAATGCTTGGTGAAGAGATTCGAAGCTCGATTTGACCAGAAGACGACGGCAGATTCCTCTTGACCAGCTGTCGATTGGCTTTACTGGAGCATTCTTGCTTCTGGGGCAATCATATTCGATTCTGGTGAAAACGTGCTAAGCGAGTCGAGAAAACAGCAGTTATGAGTTTTCTTGATTCGTCAGCTTGAATATGCTTGCAAGAATGTTATCATCTGCTCAGATGGTGTCCATCATACAACAGACGAAAGCTTAGCACGTTGATCGGAATCGAAGGAGATCATCTCGGAAACAGCGTCAACAAGAATGTTCCAGTAAAGCCATTCTGGTAGGATCGGCCTTCGAATCTATTCACCAAATATTTCAGTCTTCCAACCAGATCATAGTGGAATGAATTCAATCCTGTCTTCTTTTTGACGCACAACGCTATTCCGTTTTTGGGCTCGCTCGAACTGGTGTCGTTAGGTGATTTCTTATTGAAATATCTTATATCTTCAAAGGATCTAATCATTGGTGAATTCATCCCAACGCTGTTGGTTAGGACAACGGAAGATATTGACATTTTTTCACTGCTACCAGATCCATCTTTTGGGTGTTATCTGTCAAGCTGCCATTTGGTCCTATCATTCGCATGGCTTATTTTAATTATAATTGTTTATTTTTCAGCCCGGAGGCGCTCGTCATCAGTTCGCCCTGGCGGCCGGTGCCGCTATTCATGCTGTCTAGTCTTTCATCTTTTTGGGCCTGGGATCTCCATCCTCCCGCCAAGGAAACGTTGGAGTCGCTTGTCGCATTGTTGCTATTCTGCCTTGTCGGTATTGGCGTTGCTGTCCGGCTGGGCACCA